ATATAGCCCATGGGGGGTGTTATAATGTGACGGTAAATCCCACTATTCATGGGAGTTGGTGGTGGGTGGTGATGACTAGCTGTCTTCCCTCTAGTCTTACACTGCTAATTTAGGGCCGGCTATCGCAGATAGCCCTCGTGTAGCTTTGCGCGAAATTCATAACAAACAAACTGAGCCAAGTGAATATTATTGGGATTACAGATGTAAATATCGCAAATAGTCAACCACAGTGTTGAAGTTGTTCGTTATTCTTTTGTTACTCGTTATGATACAAACTAAACAAGAAAATAGAGTGGTTAGTCAAGTAGCTATTTATTTAATAATAAATCTTTCAAACGCAATAGTTCCTCCTCTTTTAGACATTGTTCATAAACAATCATAAGACATAAACAAATTTTCAGTCTTATCTGATGCTCTTTTCGAATGTTTTTAGATCATGAAGTACAAATGCTACTTCGTGATTTCTAAATATTGTTCACTCTGAGTATGTTAGATTCAAATTCAATCTACTTTAATATATCTCTCGAAATAATAACCACATATATTTGTTGGAAGAATTCTCTGAAACTAAACATTCGAAAATTTATTTGAAGCCCTGTCAGAATTTTACGAAGTCTGGTTGTCTTAATAAAAGTGTCTCTTTAAGAATAAAATACAAGATTTTAAAACTTGAAAGTAGCTTAATATTCCTCGGCGTCTTTCTATTAAACTGCACGAGACACTGATATGCCACGAGGAGCACTCGGGAAGCGTTATGTTACACCACATCTATCAAGCGTAGACTAGATGTTTACAACGTAACCAGTCCCTAAATCCACACTGGGGAGCTGGACGAGGTGGAATCTCTAGATAAACAAAGTAGTCTTTATGGAACCATAAGAAGAGGCACTTTATCTTCCTCAATGTTCTGACAGCCGATGATCAGGGAGGGTGATGTTCATGATTCAAGGTATCCGAAACCCAGGTATGATGAGAGTGAAATACAAATCTCGCTTAGTCAGTTTGCAGTATTCTCAAGATTGAGTACTGTTTACAGAAAATTAAAAAGAGAAATCCATAGATACAGTATACTAACCTCTTCGTGTTCTCAAGAAAACGTATTTGCAGCCTCTTTTCCAGGCAACACTCTAATATCTACAATATGAAAAGGATAAAGCATAAGGATGTTCCACATGACAGTTTGTACTAGGCTTAAGCAGAGAAATATATCACTTCTCATTTTAATACACTTCGGAGTTATACAATATGCGTAAATAAATTAACAAAAATATGATACTTAGTCTGATGAAAATCAGTTGACTTTAGCAAAATATTATAGTTAGTCTGATGTTGATCAGTTGACCTTAGCATAATATGATACTTAGTCTGATAAAGCTCAGTTGACTTTAATAAAACAGTTGCTTAGTATGATGAAGATCAGGCAACTTCAGCAAACTATGATACTTAATCTGATGAATATTAGATGACTTTATCTATCAGAGCAACTAGAGATTCTTTACTCAATTATAGATTTATGTTACTTCGTTTCCAACTATTTTATTTCATTACTTCCAGTGCATCCTTCTGTTTTTCGACAAATCAAGAAATGTTTATACCTAAAACTCCTTCAGGCTGATTAACTTTGAAAATGCATTAGTGAATTAGTAAGGAGCTGTAGCGTATATAACAATATCATAACGAAAATATTCTGATGTTTGAAGGACAATTTTTTACCAGAATCAGAAGATTAACCTAGTGCTGGAAAACAAACTATACAGTTTTAGTAATACTGTAACTTCCAAGTCTAAGCGAAATTAGGAAAAGAAATTGAAATATTACATTCATTTTGTCTCATCAGGACCTACTATACGTACTGCTTTTCCAGTTACAGTAGAAATGCGATTCCATATTCAGTTTATCATAAAAAACAAACGAAAGTTTCAGTGGGAATATAAATTGAAATCATTAACTTTAAAAAAAAACTATTTTTAATGAAATAACTAAAAATGTAATTCGCCTATATTTATCTATGCAAAGCTATATTTATATATATTAATAGTTATTAATATATATTCAGAAAACAATCACTTTTCTCAGGGAAATTGCAATGTGAAAGCTAAGATGGTAAGCTAGAGTACTGCAGAGGTTGAGTACATTACATTAAAAAGTGTTTGGATCCTCACCACTGCATTACATTCTCAGTTGCAACGCTCGGCTGTGTTCTATCTGACGACAATTCATATTCCTCACCACTACATTATAAACTGTATTGCAACGCTCGGTTGTGTTCTATCTGACGACAATTCATATTAACAATAGCTATGCAGAGTAGTATCCATAGCAAAAGGTTCCATCGTTTAGTCGTCATTTCTGAAGAACACCGCTTCTCCCTGCGATCTTTCCATAATCCATCTAGTATAAGAAAATGAAATGTTCCAGGCACCCATTTCAGAAGCCCGATTACACAGAAATCTATAGACGCTACTTCCGGCGACTTTAGCTGTATATTTTCAAATGGAATAGCATAAATATCTGTTTCATTCTTAGCTGCTTGAGGTATACGACGGTTGAACGGATACGTTATGCAAGGAAATCGTGTACACTTGATTTGTGTCAGTTTTACAGATGGAGATCTTTCTTAATTATGTTGTGTACTGTTGCCCGGGGCATATAAATGGCTTTTGTCACTGACTTCTGTGTTTGTGGATGCTCACCTGTTACAAGACGTCTAGCTTTCTCTACTATCGCTGTGGTACGACTTGTTGTGGGTCTCTTTCTAGATGTACCTGGTTCCCAAACTGATTCATATTCCTTTGGTCTCTAATGTCATTAAGTACAAGGGCCATCCCCATTTTCGTAATTCTAAATCCTCGAGCTGAACCCACAGTTATGATCTGAGGATATGAATATTTGGTTCCTGAAGAGCTGTTACATAATCTTATCAAATACGATACACATTTGGTGTTAACACACTATAGATATATGTATATATATATAAGTACAACCAATGTCAAAATGTAGTTCCGATGCATACCGTTCCACCACGACTTTAAATTTGCTGTTGTTATCATATAACTTGCTGATTTGCATATTCAAAATCGTTTTAATAGAACTTTCTTAACCTTTGTACCTAGAGATAGTTTTTCTAAAAATTTCAAGCTACTTATAATGACAAAGAAATAAATGACAACATTGATTACGGAAAAGGTAAGTTCAATTATCTTTGTAAGTATCGATGAAGTAAACAACTAAACACTACACTGTTAGACAAATATTGGTTTCGTTATCTTTCTTAATGAGGTATTGATTTCGCCAGAACAAACAATATTTCACACATGTTACTTCTCTCTTACAAGGTACGTTGAAAAAGTATGTTACCCAAAACGTTACAGAGATTACCAGCTTTAGTCGTTCAGTTGATGTTTATATATATCTATCTAGTAGAGAAAAAATAATATTTTCTTCTAGAAGTTTAATTTCGTCTTTTGCCGCCCTCTGTTGACAGCTCTTGAGATCAATATTATTAAACCCACTCATAGCAGTGAATGACTGTGTGAGCCGCACACGCGCCTGGAAGATACCTGTTCAACACCAACTTCTTAGTTGTCCTGTGACTGTCGATCCATTAGGATCGCTGCGACATAACTCCTTAACTCTTCAGATCTCTGATAAATTACCGCTAGCATGTTGGCCCTTTTGATGAATTACCTCTAGCATGGTAGCTCCAAAAAGTACTTAAGCTTCTTATAACAAACACAAAGCAATGTCGGTTGTTATATATCATTTCTGGTGGATCTGCTGGTTGTGGACTGCAATGACTGCCACTTGGTTGAAACAAGAACCAGCTTCGAAGGAGAAACCTTTCGGTAAGTATCTCTTAGTCATTAGTATACATAGGAGTAAAGTGCGCGATCATTTTCAGAGTTTTGAAAGATTGAAGATAATGTTCTAATGGTTATAACTGCTAGGAATGTTTTCCAGCTAATGGAATAAATAGTTAATGTAAACAACCAAGTTGAGATGGGTGATCGAATATTGATATTCATTTTCTTCAACAAAGTATGTTTAGTTCAATTTTGGATTTAAGTCTTAAAGTAAGATTTCATTCTGACGTTCTAAAACATGGTATACTTGCATTTTCGTATTAGTGCCCTCTACTGTATAAACAAGTTAAATAAATTTGATTTGTTCAAGTTAAGGATAAATGGTTATTGTAAATAGAATATTGTAAATGAGCCTATTTTATGAACTGGAAGCTCGTTCTTAAGTAGCTGAAAATGGTTTGGTTTGTCATGAATTTCGCGCAAAGCTACACGAGGGCTATCTGCGCTAAATGTCCATAATTTAGCAGTGTTAGACTAGAGGGAAGACAGTTAGTCGTCACTACCCACCGCCAAGTCTTGGGCTACTCTTTTGCCAACGAATAGTGACCCTCAGATTGCGAGTCGAGCTCCCTAACCACCTGAAAGTGAACAGAAGTACAAACATCATTCAAGTTCGGGTATTAGAATCATAAATTCATAATCGTAATGAAATTTAATTTTTGTATTTGTATTTATACATTCAAATTTGTTGTAAGAAGACCAGTGTTATCTTATATTCGATGTAATAAAAAAGAAATAGTTTGTTTGTAATTAAACACAAAGCTACACAATGGGTTATCCGTACTCTACCCACCACGGTATCGAAACCCGGATTCTAGCGTTGTAAGTCCTCAGACATACCGCTGTCCCACTGATGGGCAGAAAAGTAATATGAAATATATTTAATTCTTCAACGTTATTGCATTTTTTAAAGGAAATTTTATGAAATATCTTAAGGTTAAGGTGCACACGTGAAAAACTTGGTCTACTTGGTGACTTAATTTGCTTCTTGAAGAATACATTACTTTCCAGATATTATTACCTTTCTTTATAAAAAAAATCATTTGGTATTTTACCTTTTTTCGTGACAAACATGTCTCACCTTATCTTTATAAGGTTCTTTTAGTGTCATACGTTATGTGGTGGCAGAAATATGGTTCGCGTAATGTCTTAAGTTTCTTAACAAAAAAAAGTTAAGGTTCTTTGAGTGTTTACCTTTCTTTCTAACAAAAAGTATCTCGGTGCCTTGCTTTCCTTAACAAAAAAAAGATCAATGTGACTTGGTGTATTGTCTCCCTTGGTAACAAAAAACATGGCTCACTTGGCACCTTGTCATCCTTAGTGCAACAAAAACATAGCTAACTTGGCATCTTGTCTTCCTTAGTGAAGCAAAACGTTTCTCACTTGGCACCTTGTCTTCCTTAGTGAAGTAAAATGTTTCTCATTTGGCACCTTGTCTTCCTTAAAGACCAAAGCATAGTTCACTTTAAACCTTGTTTTCTTTAGTGAACAAAAGCATAGCTGAATTGGCGTCTTGTCTCACTTAGTAACAAAAATCATAGTTTGCATGATGTCTCATCTTTCTTCGTGAAAACAACAAGAACAGCAACAAGAACAACATAAAACTCCAGACGAACAACCTAGGTTAGATGGTAAACTTCATTTATAGGATATATATAAAATTAAAAGTAAAAATTCATTTTACTAAGAGGTTTTTTCCCATTGGCGCAGGAATACGTTTGAGAGCATATAACGCGAGTTCCATCACTGCGGTGACACCGCGCAGATAGCCCATTGTGCGGCTTCGTGCTTAAACCAAACAAACAGAGAGGTTTATTTAATGACGCCAGATTTATTCCATCCCTAAGTGTAAAGTACTCTCCTAATGTTCATTCAATTTATCTAAAATATCCTGAATTTACTGTACTTGGATTTTACAACAACTCCTTAGAAATTCCTGATAATAGACTACACACAGCCTTTAAATTTATTTTCATATTATTGATGTCAATATGATTTAAAAAAAAAAGATCCATTTTCAGCACTTTAAACGGGTAGCGGTACAGATTAATTTGAAACTAAACTGTTATTGTGTATGTGTCGGTGGGTTTCCGCATTAACGCAACTGTGATAAATTTCGGTATCATTTTCATCCTTGGCGTATGCTTACTTCAAAATTTACTTCACTAAGCCTAAAGTATAAGAACTTCTAACGTGGAACTTAATAAAACACTAAGAATTTTCAAAAGTTCTGCTTTAATATTTTCAGAAACTTCAAGATTTATTTTCTGAAAAACGTTATAGGGCTAAAATAATCATTGTTTTGTATGTAAGTGATATATTATTCTGGAGTATAAATTTTTTCGGTGTCTGTTGAAACGTTTCTATCATTTTACTTTCCATTTTAAAACTAAAGAGTAAATCAGGATTTCATATAGTAAGAGTTTAAGTATCACGAACTCTGTGAGAGAAAACAGTAAGAAGTTTAAGTTTAAAGCAGATGATTTAGAATTCAATTTCTGGTATTGTCTAAACATCACTACAGATGGAGAACGGTCTTGCGTACAAAATGGTCACACTTCACCACCCCTCTGTTGTTTCTTGAGAAACGTTACGCAGTGTCTTACAAAATAAAACATTTAATGTTGAGTTATTCCTGGCACCGGGTTTTTATACTATAGAGGGGCGAGTGCGGTCCAGTAATAAACGTACCTGGCTGTGTAGCTGAATTTCCCAAGTTTGCGTCCCGTTACCGTTCTAAAAAAACCCGCTTTCTACACTTTGGGACCGTGGGTTTGTTATATGAGTCGCGATAAAATGCCACTACTATGTCTATTCGTAAGGTAAAGGGCTGAATACTGCTCGATGATAAACGTGCAGGACTGAGTAGCTGAAAGTCCGTGGTTCGTGTGCCGCTACAGCACCCTCCCTTCCTTTAAAAAAATAAATAAATAAACTATCGCTCCGCACTTTTTGGTCGCGGATCGGATATCAGAATGATGGTAAAAGCCCACTATTCAATCCGAAAAGAAAAGTCCAGGACTTAGTGATGGGTAGTGTTGACAGGCTACCTACCGTCTAGTCTATTACTTCAAAATTGGAAGGATGTTTTATATATTCTGAAACGTTACTACATTTAACAATCATAGAAGGACTTCACTACTTTCTAAATTATAGGAGTGTCGTGCATTTTCGGGGTGTTGTTTGTTTTTGTGAATCTTTCCTTGCTTTATAAATAACAATGTTTCATATGTTTAGGCCACGTTTAGGTACCTCTAAACTTTATTACACGTATCTGTCTTAACTACAAACGTCGTAACTCGTAAAGGATATTAGTTAAAGAAAATAATCTAGGTATTAATCAAATCTAGTTTTATGATTAAATTAAATATGTGACATAATTACGCAAAATTATCTCAAATATAAAGTTTTACTTTTTTTACTAAAACTTTTTCACCCGCGACATAATATGAGTTATAATCCTGATTTTTAGGATATTCCAAAATTGCATTGGATATTTGAAACTGCCAGTGCAATACGGGACATTTGATCTCTTGGGAAACAGTAATATGTTTTGCTATACTTAATGAAATTAAATTATCTTGTCACAAATTTAATCCACATATGTAAAGATCTAATCTCGTATTACCCCCTGCAAGATTCACGCCCGTTTCTTCGGGTGTGGTTTCAAAGAATATGAGCCATAAACGTTATAGAAGAACTTGTGAATAATTAGAGAGACGTAGATAATCAAGTTGAAATACAGCAAAAACCTAAAAATCATAACAGTTTTCTTCAAGAAATTACTGAACTTAAAATTGAAATTATTAAATAAAAATCGATAATCTGAAAGAAAAATAATTTTCTAAAAATTGAAAGGACTTCGTGAGATTATACCTTCCCCCACGTAAAATATACTAAGATTAAGTAAAAGAAATACCAGAAATACTAAGGAAAAAAAGGACAACTACTAAGGTTTGTTAAAGATGAAATAAATGAAAATAATACAAATTAACAATGTCGTTCACGCAGAAATATTTACTATGGCATAAAAAAGTGTTCTTAAGTCTGCATAGCAACATTCACTGTGGTATCAATGCAGGTGCTCTAAAGTCTTCCCAGACACGTCCACTGTTGCCTTTAAGTCTTCCTAAAAACATCCACTGAGTTGTGGTGTAAATACAAATGTCTTTAATCTTAAGATTTCTTAGAAACATTCACTGTGGTATAAACTCAGGTGTTGTAAAATCTTCCTAGAAAGATCCATTGTGATATGAAAACAGGTGTTCTTAAGTGTTCCTAAGAATATCAACTGTTGTATAAAAACAAATGTACTTAAACTTAAGTCTCGTTAGAAAAAACTACTGTTGTATAAACACTGGAGTCCTTAAGTCTTCCGAGATTTTTTTGGAAACATCCATTGTGGTATAAACACAGGTGTTCTTAATTTTTCCTTAAAAGTTCCAATGCAGTATAAACACATTTGCCCTTAATTCTGCCTCGAATTATTCAATTTGGTATAAACATAGGTGTCCGTAAGTCCTTTTTTAATGGGAAATATAATTATTCCTCTCACTTCGTGTTTTTTTTTTCACTATGCAGTAAATCTTGAAATCAACAAAAAATACATCAGAAAATTGTCTGTTGTGTTGTTTCTTCATTTCATTACCAGAGCGAAATAGAAGGCTAAAACTGTTATAACCACGTCAGTTGTAAACTTATGTAGGTTCCAGGTGCAAATAAAAGAGCGATGTAAAGGTAGAGTTTACTGTCTATTCCAGAGCTGAGAGTTAGAGAGTATTCAAAGATCAATGTCTCTGAGATGGTAGGTCGCAGATGTAATAGGATAAACATCATTAACAATTAAGAAATACTGACATAATAGTTTCCAGCTCTGACTGTGCTCAGTTTTTAAATATCAGTTATCGTTACAAACATAATAGATCCCAAAGTTTATTTATAATAATTTATAGTTATGAGTAACTTACAAAGTTCATTAAACG